TTTGTAATTGCTTGCTTGTCAGTCCCTGAAAAGTCGTCAAGCGTAGCATTTCCTTTATTTAATTCCATCGCTTAGCCAGTCCCTGAAAAGTCGGCGAGCCTAGCTTTTTTTTTTGTAATTGCTTGCTTGTCAGTCCCTGAAAAGTCGTCAAGCGTAGCATTCCCTTTATTTAATTCCATTAGCTTTTTTTTTGTAATTGCTTGCTTGTCAGTCCCTGAAAAGTCGTCAAGCGTAGCATTTCCTTTATTTAATCGCTTAACCAGTACCTGAAAAGTCGGTGAGCCTAGCTTTTTGTAATTGCTTGCTTGTCAGTCCCTGAAAAGTCGTCAAGCGTAACATTTCCTTTATTTAATTCCATCGCTTAACCAGTCCCTGAAAAGTCGGTGAGCCTAGCTTTTTTTTTTGTAATTGCTTGTTTGTCAGTCCCTGAAAAGTCGTTAAGCGTAGCATTTCCTTTATTTAATTCCATCGCTTAGCCAGTCCCTGAAAAGTCGGCGAGCCTCTCTTTTTTTTTTGTAATTGCTTGCTTGTCAGTCCCTGAAAAGTCGTCAAGCGTAGCATTCCCTTTATTTAATTCCATCGCTTAGCCAGTCCCTGAAAAGTCGGCGAGCCTAGCTTTTTTTTTTTGTAATTGCTTGCTTGTCAGTCCCTGAAAAGTCGTCAAGCGTAGCATTTCCTTTATTTAATTCCATCGCTTAGCCCGTCAGTCCCTGAAAAGTCGGCGAGCCTAGCTTTTTTTTTTTGTAACTGCTTGCTTGTCAGTCCCTGAAAAGTCGTCAAGCGTAGCAATTCCTTTATTTATTTTCCTACTTATCTATACAAACAATGTTTATTAAAGATGGCATATGAATTTCTGAGTATGATGATAAGGATAGGCACATACAATCACGTACCCCACCATGCATAATTGATCTTAAAACAGCCATGGTTCTCAGAATATAGTAAAAATGTTGAAAAAGGTAAGAAAAATTTATAATTTATTATTTTGTGCGTTTTTTATATACTTATAAATTGTATTAACTATTTAATAAGTTTAAGAACTACATGTATATGAAAGATAACAAACCTAAAGTATATGGGTTGACTCAAAACACAGTTACTAATGAATATATGTTGATATTTGATGAACTTGGTTTCAAAAGAAGGAATTGGAAGGAAAATGTGCACATTGCAATCGGTATAATACATCTAAAGTTTGGTGTCAATTGTGCGATCCTCAGATAACGGCAAAGAATGAACAAGTGGAAATAAGAATATAGATGATTGCATTAAAAAACTTCAACTTCAAAGCACAAAGTATAAAAATGTCGTTGAGTTGATTCCTTTTGATAGATTAGAAAATATTCAAAGGAATGGTAATGAATTTTTAGCAATCTGGTTAGATGGCAGACGGTTGATTATTGTAAACAAGAAAAAATGCACACAATCACGTACTCCATCATATATAATAACACTTAAATCATTGCATAATTTTCAGAATTCAATGGAGAGGTAAGATATAAATAAAATATATATATTATTTAGTAAATTCATTATTATTGTACGTATCTTTATTTTTATGTACTTATAAATTATATTTATCTATAAAATTAGGTTAAGAACTATTTAAAGGATAACGAATCTTCTATAGTTTGGCCAGATGGTAACTGTCACAGGGTTAAGCGATACTACTAGTTTTAGCACCGAAATCTAACCAGATGTAAATATAGTGAACACACTTGTTTATTACTTTTGTATATTTATTAGGATTTACTAATCACAAAGACTATTAATTATTTATCGCTTTATTAAATGAGAATAAGAGCTACTTTTCCTTGTGCTCATTATTCCTTATTTATCCCTACATTCTTTACAATTACGATTAATAAACACAATGACGCTATACTATAATAACGAGACATTTATGCTTTTAGCTTTGTCTGTTGTCATTGTCATGTGACTAATTTTAATTTTTATCGTATCTTCATTACGACATATGATCGTCACCTACGTGACAGTAACTTATTATTGGACTTCTGTAAATGAAGTATAGTAATAAAATATAAGTTATGTGATGAAGATTTAAATATCAGAATTACCTGCTTTTGATGCCTTTGTCTTTCTATTAAGTGTAACACTTAAACTCTTCAAAATTCGAAGTTAGATAGTTATGAAGATCTCCTTTGTTAGCATATTGGAAAACCATCATATATTCTTTCGTTTCCGTATTTTGAGTAAGTCCATATACTTCGAGTCTGCTACCACTTAGTCGGCAGTGCATATGACTTTTAAATAAAATTATCTAGATTAGAGAATATTATGCACTACAGACAAATAATTAACTATAACTTACTTCTCTTAGAAAATCATCGGAATTTTTTTTTGATTCAAGGTAAAGTCTTATGTGCTACATTACAAATTGTAAATGCATATTTTCATTTTCATTTGAGGTATTTTGGCCAAAAATACGGTGCCAAATCCTCCTTTACCAATCTCTTTTATGACATTTAATTTATTAAACGGAATCCATTTAATTGCTTTCTTATGCTCAGTAGCATAAGTTGAAACTCTTTAATAAATTCATCAATATCTTTATTACCACTTGTCCATTTCCTAATTATCCTATATGGGTCACATGACAGACACCAATTTATTGAAGTTTTAAATCGCTTACAATTTGTACATTTGCCATTGCTATAATTTCTTTTAGAAGCAATACATCAACTCTGTCACCATTTGTACAATCTGAAACTATCATATATTCACCAGTGGCTGGAATAGAGGTTGGACCCGTTGAGAAAATCCCTACCCGGGTATTACTAAATTACCCGGGTTATCCGGATAATTTATTATGATCATATATCAACAATTTCTACCCGGGTCCAATCACTAGGCTGGAAATTGCGTTATACCGTACATTTTAATTGCATTGTTTTTTATCTGTATTAGATCCTTAACCTTATAAAATAAATTCGTATTACATATTAATTTATTTAAACAAAAATATAAAAGTAAATTAAAAGTAAATGATAGAATAAATAAATTGCAACCTACATCCACTAAAAAGCCCAGATGAAATTCTTTAAGGCAATTGTACGTGGTAATGTACGTGACCGTGTATTTGCCCTCGTATTCAAAAATTGTTCGTATGCCATCTAGCCAAGTGGCTAAAAAACTATCACTATTCTTTTGAATATTATCAAATCTATCAAAAGGAACACACACAACCATATTTTCATATTTTGTGGTTTTAAGTTGAATTTCTTTAATGTAATCATCAATATTCTTATTTCCATCTATCCATCCTTGAGCTGTTCTCTGAGGGTCGCATGTCTGGCACCAAGCTTTAGATGTGTTGCATCGATTACAATGTGCACATTGTCTATATAAATAACTTCTTTTGGAATGAGATTTATTAGATTTAAGAAAAAGATTCTTATTATAATTATAAAATTTTTTCAAATATTATTAATACAAATAATAATGATATTAAACTTATATTTTTTGTAGAAGATATTAATTTTCTGAATGTATCACAGAAAATTCTTTTATTTATACAGTATTAACACTTTTGCAAGTTAATTATATTCATTTTTTAATAAACAATAATATTATACAACTAATAAAATATATTAATTTTAACAACACTACTATTCTGCACCTACACTGGCAATCATAAATAATGCAACATGTGATTATTTTTATAATAAAACATAGTAACTTTGGAAATTTTCATCTATGATAAAAATTTTTAACAAAAATTTTTTAAATTTTTTTTTAATATCAGAATAAATTTCAACATTTGAAGCTTCTAAAAAATATTTTTTCGGATTTTTTAAAAATTTTTATAGCAAACTTGTTCTAAGGTCAAAACCCTAGTATTAAATTTTTATAAGTTTTACTTATA